TCACATAATAAATACATAAAAAAAAAATTTCTTTTCATTAAATAAAATTTGGGATGTTACAATGAACTTCTAAATTTTAGTTTTGTGTAAGTAGTTTATTGGAAAGTTCTCCAGGCATACAAGTTTAAATGAATTTTCATATTTTTTTGTAGAATTTTTCTTAAATTTTTTTTTACCATTTTAGAAATTAATTATATATATTTTCAATGATATAAGTAATTTAGTTTTTAAAATTTATTTTCTATTTTAAAAATATACTGTAAATAGACTGGTTTCTCAAACCAAAGTGACACGATTTTGAATAATTTTTTATTGGTTCAAGAGTAAAACTTGTTATAATAGATTTACTTATATGAAAACTATGAAATTAATTGTTGTTCAAATCAAAAAGTTGTTGTTCAAATCAAAAAGAGTTATAAACATAGTAAAAATTACATGTAAAATATATCCAACAAGCAACTAAAAAATAATATGAAATTAGAATTTTGGAATGCTTTTTGGACTTATGTTTATGAAATTTTTACCATGTTTATGATTTTTGTTTTGCTTTCGTTCAACAGTTTTCATGTAAGTAAATCTAATAAAAACAAGTTTTAAGTCTTGATTCAATAAAAAATAATTCAAAATCATGTCTCAAAATTGTAAATAATCATTGTTTTGAAAGAACTATATCGACTTATATTTATGAGGCAAAAGACCAAAAGTAAAATTTAGTCATTAAATTTATATTATATATAAAAAATTATTAAAATATAACATTTGGTGTAAATTTAATGTTAACGGATTTTGACTTATATATATATATATATATATATATATATGAGAGATTTGTTTATTTTAAGAATAAGTTTATCTAGATTTATTTTATTTAGTAACTCATACTTTACATCAAATTTCAATGATTCAATCGTTAAATTTAAAGTTCTTAATGTATAAATCAAGTTTGCAAATTCTTAAAAAAATTTAAAAATCATTTAATACTTTATTTTATTAATTCAAATTGACAGATAATCATAAAGTTATTTTATACATTGATTATCTAGATTTATTTTATTTAGTAACTCATACTTTACATCAAATTTCAATGATTCAATCGTTAAATTTAAAGTTCTTAATGTATAAATCAAGTTTGCAAATTCTTAAAAAAATTTAAAAATCATTTAATACTTTATTTTATTAATTCAAATTGACAGATAATCATAAAGTTATTTTATACATTGATTTGAATTAATGAAATGAAATATCAACTAATTTTTAAATTTTTAAAAAATTTGTAAACTTGATTTATACATTAAGAACTTTAAATTCAATATAATTGTATTCACAATAATTATTCTCTCCTCATAACTATCGTTCCTTCACATTTATTATCTTTTGCGGACTCAATTCTCACCAATGAAAATATTTTTTTAACTAATATAAGTCACAACAAATGTAAATTAATATTTAATTATAAACTTTTAAACAAATGCATAAATTATTTTTTTAATGAAAATATTAATATAAAATATTTTGTTAGAAGTAACGACTAATTTTCATCGTAGATTCTGAACACATTACATAAATTATGTTGATGAAAAAAAAATGATTGTATTTTGAATCCACATCCTTTGTCGAATCTCATTGCTGAATTTCTGTATAGGCAGTGAGCAAACATGGAGCATTCATCCGCACCTCATGTGTTGGCTTTACCTCTTCCAGCAGATGGCCACATCAAACCCATGTTTAACTTAGCCAAACTTCTTTCCCATAGAGGCCACAGAATCACCTTCGTGAACACACATCACAACCACAATCGCCTCCTCCAATCCACAGACTTACCATCATTCCACACCCAATTCCCCAATTTCCACTTTGTGTCCATCACTGATGGCTTACCCGATGACCTTCCACGAAATGGGGCCCTTATGAACTACTATCCATTGCTTATCTCTCCGAGTGCCAGGTCCTTATTTGCTCAAGAGTTCCGAGAATTGTTCTTGAAACTTGTTCAGACAAATGGAGAGTGGCAACCACCATCTTGCATCATAGCCGATGGACTCATGTCAACCATTGCCTTGAGTGTTTCACAAGAGTTTCGGGTTCCATTCATTGCTTTCCGTGTAACATCCCAAATTTTATTTAATGAAAAGAAATA